TCTTGATATATGAATCTAAAGGAACACTATAGTCACCTAAATTACTTTAGCTAAATAAAGCAGTTTTAGTGTATAGATCATTCCCCTGTAATTTCACTGCTCAATTTACTGTCATTTAGGAGTTAAATCACTTTGTTTCTTTTTATGCAGCCCTAGCCACACCTCCCTTGGCTATGACTGACAGAGCTTGCATGAAAAAAAAAAAAACTGGTTTCACTTTCAAACAGATGTTGCAGGGTCTAGCAAGCTATTAACATAGCAGGGGATAAGAAAATCATAATTAAACAGAACTTGCAATAAAGAAAGCCTAAATAGGGCTCTCTTTACAGGAAGTGTTTATGGAAGGCTGTGCAAGTCACATGCAGGGAGGTGTGACTAGGGTTCATAAACAAAGGGATTTAACTCCTAAATGGCAGAGGATTGAGCAGTGAGGCTGCATGGGCATGTTCTATACACCAAAACTGCTTCATTAAGCTAAAGTTGTTCAGGTGACTATAGTGTCCCTTTAATGACTAACACAGTGCCTACAATAATATTGGATCCCTTGGTAAATATGAACAAAGAAGTCTTTAATGTCTTTATTGTTTAACGTTTTGATCTTATGTTAAAAGAAATACGCAAAATACTCTGCTCTCAAACAATTGCAAAGACAACACAAGTTTGTAAAAAAAAAATCTTTCTAACATATATATGTAGCGCAATTACTGGCATCCCTATCAATTCATATTAGGAAGTATATTCCCATAGATATTTTTTTTAAATTTTGTACACTTGGCTGATTAGGAATAGGAAATTGATCAACCAGGACTTCCTGTTTCACAGGTGTATAAATATGAAGTAACACATAGGCCAAATTCCCTTATTAATTCATCACAATGGGTAAGGCCAATGAATATAGCTGTAATGTACGGCAAAAGGTTGTTGAGATCCACAAAATGGGAAGAAAGCTTAAAATGGGCCATGGTTTGATCTTCCAGCAGTACAATGATCCAAAACATACATCAAAATCAACACAAAAATGATTTACTGACCTGAAAATCACGTAAGTCATCCAAGTGCCCTCATGTGAACCCCATAGAAAACCCATTGGTTGAACAGAAAAGGAGACTCCACCAGCATCAATCTTGAAATTTGAAGGATCTGGAGAGATTCTGTATAGAGGAATGGTCTCCGATCCCTTGCCATGTATTATCCAACTTCATAAGGCATTACAGGAGAATACTCAGAGCTGTTATCTTAACCAATGGAGGTAGTACAAAGTATTGACTAAAATTGTGCCAATAATTGTGCCAAGCATATATTTATAAAGTATATAAAGATTTTTTTTTTTATACACCTGTGTTGTTAACAAAATATCAAAAGGTTAAACAATAAAGACATATTTATTTATTTTATGTAAATTTTTATTTTTGGTTCAATCATCCACAGATACTTTGTATCAATACATGGAGACAATAACAAATGTGTATACAATTTTAAAAGCGCATACAAGAAAAAATGAATATGCATTATGAAAGGCACTCAATAGATTCATTTTTTTTGTTATGATATACTTGAACTGTGAACAAAGCCTTCTTTGCTCATATTTACCAATGGTGCGAATATTAGTGGAGGGCACAGTATGTTTAGGATTTAAATTAATTATTTTATAGTTAACACTAATCCTATACTAAGCATAACCCTTACCCAATGCTTACACTAATTCTAACTGTATGCCTACCATAATCGTATTCTTAACTTCAGCCCTACACTATCTTTAACCCCGAAACAGCATGAACCGTGACCCTAAAGTAAACGTAACCCTAACCCTACCCAACACTAACCCTTTTCTACTCTTACCCCTAAATCAATCCCCAACTTTAACCCTAAGGTAACCCACAGCTAATATCAATTCTGATATTATAAATGGGCTTTACAGTATTTAACACAGTAGATGGTGGTATGTTGACACCATCTATCGGCCATTTTCATAATTACACTTGGTAGAATTCTGAATGAGACTGGTTCATAGCCGACCAGCACAGTGATCATTGCTAGGAACCTGGCTATGCCCAGTACTGTTCCTAATGGGGAATGACTAGGTGAACCAGCCAGGGTCTATTAAGACCCTAAAGTGTCTTTCCAAAGCTGCCTGAACCCCACAATAAATGAGTTAAAGGGCTAGCATTGACATTCAACGCTGCAAACACCTCATTGGTCAGTTTCGGGCCACTAAAAGCTGACTTACAGGAGCCCCAGGTATCAACTATATTACCCTTCTGCCATTAGAAACATAGAATGTAATGGCAGACAGGGCCGGCTTGTCCATAAGGCGGCACAAGCGGCCGCCTTAGGGTGCCAGAGTGGGGGGGCGCAAAAATCCAAATCCCCTGCCTCTGGCTGGGGACTTGGATTTTTCAAATTACCTCTCCCCTGCAGCCAGGGAAGTCAGTCAGTCAGTCGGCCGGCCGGCCTTTCCAGATGATGTCATGAGGAGGGGGTGTGACTTCCAAAGCACTTCGCCGGGGGAACATCTGGGAGAAGAGCAGAGAAAGTCACACCCCCTCCTCCTGACATCATCACGAGAGGCCGGCCGACTTACTTCCCTGGCTCCAGCTCCTGTCACACCTGACCACCAGGGACAAGGCTACCCCCTCCCTGGTCCAAGGTAAGACTCAGGGAGGGGGGAATACATTTTTTAACACTTTTAAGCAGCCCCTAGCCCTCCATCTACAGCTGTAGAGTTGGGTGAGAGCATCAGATGACTTTTCTCAGCCAAAGAATGCAAAACTCTGTGCTTCGAAATATGTTTAGCTAATGACTCCCCAATTTCGCGGCCAGAAGTGATGTTACACCTTTGGCAGCAAAGGGATTAAGTTCCATATGTGCAGCAAAATGCTGAACATACAGACTCCAGGCACCATGAACATGTCAAACCACTCAAGTGGTCATGGTGCTCGGAGTAATCCTTTAAGGTAATTCTATTTATTGATATTAAAGCCTGTTAATATGACTAGCATTTTAACAGCAAGAGGATGGTCAAAAGTGCTTTCAGTATTTCAAGCAGGATTCACCTATAATTCATTTGCAATAACCAGACTGCTGTAATGATAACACATATGTAAAAATGACACTATCATGTATTAGTTGGTAGAATGACCTATATGAAAAATACGATATAAGCAAATATTAACAGATTTACATCCACAGAATGGGTTGTATTGTGACAAATTATATTTATTTTTACTGGTAACTGACTATTGCTCCTGCAAGCTTATGAAAAAAAAGAAAACCCACCTTCGCAACTATGGCTAATAAATCACTCAGCCCAGCTGAAAAGATTTGTATCTGCAGTATTTACTGGTAAAATACAGTAGATAATCAATCATACAGTGATTTGTCAGCCATCTTCCTTGATTATCCACCAATCAGCAATCTGACTCACATAATGTACAATCCACTGAAAAAGCCAAAAATCAATTTGTAGAGGTGGACGGTTCAGCAACCGTTTGGTAAATGTGCAAGTTTAAGAGAGATTGATTATCCATCTAAACGTATTATTGCCCAGCCATGTCCCCACATTAGCTGCAGATAATTGATGAACTACTATGCTATATTAGCTCAACATACTACACACTCTGTAACATCCAATAAAGTGATGTTACTTAATCAAGCTTCCTCCTATTACATTTTTAACCTGTGACAAATTAGATCATAAAAAGAATATTCAAAGCACATTCATTAACAAATTATTATTATGATATGTATATTGTGCCAACAAATTCTGTAGCGCTTTACAATGGGTGGACTAACAAAAATGTAATTGTAACCAGACAAGTTTGACACACAGAAACAGAGCTTACATGCTAGAGGGAGTGGGGTAAAGTGACACAAAAGTTAAGGTAAATTGGTAGAAAAGGGAAGGGAGTTCCACAGGAACGGTGCAGCCCTAGAGAAGTCTTGGATACGAGCATCAGAAGTGGGAGTACGAACAGAGGATAGACGCAGGTCTTCGGCAGAGCGTAGGGGCCTAGACGGGACATACTTGTGTATTAGGGAGGATAGATAGGTGGGAGTAGCATTATGTAGAGATTTAAAAGCAAGAACCAGAATTTTATATTGAGCCCTATATCTTACAGGAAACCAGTGCAGGGACTGACAGAGGTGCGGGCGGACAGGAAAATGAGCCTCGCCGCCGCATTCATTATAGACTGCAATGGGGCAAGTTGGGAGCACGTAAGACCAGTGAGAAGCATATTGCAATAGTCAAGGCGAGAGAGGACATTGGCATGGAGCAGCACCTTAGCCGCATCTGGCGTTAAGTAGGGGCAGATGCGCTCAATGTTTTTGAGATGTAAACGGCAGGATTTGGCGATAGACTGGACATGAGGGGTGAAGGAGAGGTCAGAGTCAAAGAGAACACCTAGGACATGTGCCTGCATGGTGGAGCTGATGGTAGCACAATTAACGTGTAGGAAGACAGAAACGGGAGTAGCAACACTTAAGGGAGGAAAGACCAGAAGTTCTGTTTTGGACAAGTTGAGCCTAAGGAAGTGGCAGCCATCCATGTAGAAATAGCAAAGAGGCAGTCAGAGACATTAGTCAAGAAGGGCGGGGAGAGATCAGGGGAGGACAGATAGCTTTGCATGTCATCTGCATAGAAGTGATGGGGAAGCCAAAGGACCTGTTAAGTTTACCAAGGGAGGCAGTATAGATCAAGAACAGTAGGGGACCGAGGACTGAATCTTGGGGGACACCAACAGAGAGAGGTTGTGAGGAAGAGGCAGAGCCAGAGAAAGAAATGCTAAAAGAGTGCTGGGTGAGGTAGGGGGAGCTCCAGGAGAGAGCAATATCTCGTAGACCGACATTACGGAGGATGAGAAGAAGCACATTAAAATCACAATCTGGATAACTGATCCATAACTTTTCTAAATTTTGACCATTATCATATGTGAGTGTTTTCAAGGCAATCAACATTGTTACAAACTTTTCCTGCCAGTATGTAAGTTAGAAATATCAACTCAAAACCATTCTTAACTTGAGTTGTCATCTTTTATCACATGATCTCAAGATAAATGATGACAACTCAAGTTAAGCATGGTTTTGTGAGGTTAATAACAAACAAAATGGATCCATCCTGGAAATATCAGACCTGTCTTTCTGTTCCCGTTTATGGAGCAATAGTGATGAGAATAGGGAGCAGGTGGGTCATTAACCCACTGTGTTGCAAATCAACATTGATTTGCATGTACTTTTCTTTAAGCATGTTAGAATAGGGCAATTTGGATATAGTATTCATGTTTATTTGTTGTGGTATTTATGTTGCTATGTCATTATATTATGTTAGTACTTGTTTGAATAGGTCACCAACACTAGGGTGATGTTTGTGGTGTTCTGTTCCTGCACAAACACTGACAGTTTGTGTTATATTGGTTTAAGGGGCACTGTAGTGTCAGGAACAAAAATGTTCCTCCTATGCCCCCCTTACCTAGGACGGGATTTACTCATCTTTTTCCAGTGTTGTGCAGGGCTAATCATGTCTGGTCCTGCCAACGATCTGCCTCCTTGGCTGACATCACCAGATTTGATAACATAGGAAAGCATTGGGAGGCTATGGCGCATGGGCGGCCAAAAGCACTGGGGAGTGGCCACTCTCTAAAAAAGCAGTGTTTACATTAAAAAGCCTGCAGGGACAGGCTATACTCACCAGAAAAACTACAATAAGCTATGGTTATTCTGATGACTATAGTGTCTCTTTAATTGTTAGAAAACTATTTATTTATTTTTTTAAATTATGGTGGTTTGAGGTTTTTTCAGGTGTTGAATTCAGTAACTGACTGATGGTTCTGTTAAGTTGCCAAAAAATCTTCTTCGAAAGGAATATGGCGAATTAAACATGAATATCTCATATGACACATAACGATCATTTTCATAGAAAGGTTAATGGTAAAAGTTTTGTCGAAAAGCACTGGAAACAGATTTCAATCACTTTGACACCATTAATGGCTCATTGACAGCAATTAACATGTCAATAATGATCAAATTATAGATTCTCATGTAACCCTTTGTTATCATTTTAAAAGTGACAGTCCAGCTTGAAAACATTTTTTCATTAAAATTAGTTAAACTTTTCATCACTTGTATATCTACAGTTGTAGGATGGATAAACAATTGTATTTGAAATGTGTTTTTGTTTTTGTCTTTGTGAACATATGCTACATTATCTTTTTTATAACAGTTATCTTAATATAGTAAATATCATTTTCCACATACAGACAGTTACATATACTCAGAATTCATGCTTAAGCAAATACACAGCAATATTAAAAAAAAAAAAATGCCTGCCAATCCACAAAACATATGCCCAGACCAGACACATGGTTAAAAGTTCTGTTATTCTACTGAGCTGTTACTAGTCCAAAACAGCTGCCAATTAATATGACAGACACCTGAACGCCAGAGAAACATGTAGGCCAAGAGACAACAATTACAATTAGTGACTAATTAGTAAAAAGGAAGCACTAATGCATTAAATTTATCCTGGCTTTTTTACAGCTGCTACTGTACTGGCTCAGATTGTGTCACTACGTTACAAGAGATTCATAAACCTTGATCATCTCGGATCTTAAGAACAATGTGTTGCCCAATGTATTTTTCCTCCAGGGAAAGTATTCACAAAGGGCAAGAAGGACCACAGACTAGACCAGAACGTTAGAGACAATTTTTGTCCAGTGATTGACGTTGACAAGTTTAGGAGAAAGTCTCCACAGACATCAGAGACCTTGACAACTGGGAGGGTGAGAGACAGAAATTATTGGACTTTATGTGAAGGAGATATACATGTGAATTGATATTTACTTACATTGAGATAAGTAAGTGAATTGCTATTTAATACATTCATTGGAACATTGTCACTAACAAGGAGTGCATGTTAGAACTTTGCTGCTGTTGGAAGTTATCAAGCAGAATAAAAATAAACATATAACAGTATTAGTCTACTGATATTACATGCTTATTTACCATTTAACCATGTGCATAATAACATAAAGTGAGAATTAATAGTGAATTTCGAATTTAAGGCCAAATAGCCGACTTGGAAACATTCTTTAAGTTACCTATGCTTCCAGTTCAGTTCAGCTGCTTGGCCAGAAATGTGAAATTTTCTTTCAATTCACTTTGAATTCTGACTTTACGGAATAACCCTGTAACTGTGTCATTCTCAGACATTTGCAGTCATGTCTGCCAAATATACCAGCATTGTGTACTGTGAAAATTAATCTCAAAATGCTAAAAGCCTAAAACTAGATATAATTATGTTATTTCAAAGTAATTCATTATTAATTATTAGCAGCTTTGCATCCCTTTAGGCATGGTATACGCTCATATGTCTCTCTTTGAGAATCTACATGCATACCTATGATGCTGGTACTTCTTATTATCGGGAGGAGGGAGAGGGGATGGCACCCAGAACACATCATTGAGATTAAGTGGTCAGGAGGCCAATAGTGTTTCTTTAAGTCTTTTGTGCACTGCAGGTTACCTGAACTGGGTAGGTAGGCTTGACATGGTATATTCCAATGTGAACTAAAGCCAGTGCCATGTTAAAGATATCCAATAGATGGAAACAACTGTCTGTGGTTAGCTTTTTTTAGTTCACCTACACACAAACCTATGCTTTGCTCATTGATAACAGTAACTACAGAAATCTTGGGAAAAATATATAATACCATTTCTAGCTTACTTTGCTATCATACCATATACATTCAAGTGGGAGTAGCTTAATCCTCTCGGCAAAATCTTTTCAGTCCAAGGAGGGAACTAGTGTCTCTTGGTACATCACTTTTTATCTTCAGGATAGGAATGATATTAGCAACAAATAATTTTATCCTTAAAATCACTAAAAATAATACAGGCAGACCTATAGTATTATTTTTCGTTAACTGAAATTGATCAATTGAATTTAACTCACCAAAGCACAAGGGTGTCCAGAAAAGAAATGCCAACATCGGATGCTCCGACCACCACAATTCGGGCATTGATGGAAATCTTTGGTTCAAAGGTAAGCTTTCGATTGGTGTGGTACACAGCATAGCCTGGCTGCGTTAATAGAAAATTACAATCATTAAGCATGTTACAATGGACGTAATAAGGAACAGGAACAAATTATAATTATAGAAATTCTTGTTCGATTACCATCCCTACTGTAAATGTTTCTTACTTAAGAGCGAATTGTAGGGAATACAAAATGATATTTACATTTTATTCTTAAAAACTGATCGGTAAACAAAGCTGACTTAGAGAATTTTTCCAATATGGGTGTTTTGACCTAAGAGTTGAAATTTACTCTAAATTCACTATGAATTACATACAATTCACAATTTAGTAAATAACCTTTTGTATGCAATAGCTATGAAGAAAATGTTGATGGGGATAAGTTGACTGGTAACTTGCTTATACAGTTTAGCAAACCAACACTTATATATGGTGTTCTGTAATGTGTGTATGAATGTATTATTTGAAACTCATTCCAAGACAATTCAGAACTGTGCTATAACCTAACTCATAGAATATCGACACTTTGTTCTACGAGTGTAGAAACGGTTCATTAGTTTAAATCAGACAATACTAATTTTGTGATACAAAATACGTAAAGATTTTTGAAAACTAGACTACAAAACAGATAGGATTTCTGAACCACACATGAAAAAAGGTATATGTGACTTGAATAGCCTTAATGGAGATGGCAAAATTGGCAAGACCTTTTCGCTAGCACAATGCACACATTAAATGATATCCAGAAACAGCTGGTAGTGATGGGAGTTACAGTTTACAGCATCTTCCATTTCAGAGAGTGTTCACCACACTTACCTTGTAAGTAAAGTTGATACATTGATAATAACAAGACAGTAAAATCGTACTATAACGTTGGTTGGTATTACGACCGTCTACACTTCTAACTCAAGATTTACATTTTTTTTAAAGATAATCTATTTAAGAAATTTGAAGTGTATATTACTTAGTTATTCTAAGAAAGCGGAGTGTCTGCTTTATGTACATTGACGGCTAACCTTTGCAAACTACAATTCCCATGAAGCTCAGGGAGTCTTAAGCCAATAGTTCAAACATATGCCAATTTTAGATATCATTGATATATAACATCCCTGGAGAAAATGGGAATCAATAAAATGGTTCAATTAACTAATTGACCAATTGATATGGTAGATATTTAATAAACACCTCAGCGGCATTTGGACAAGCTGTGAACACATAGAGCAAATCCCTGCTTATAATATGAAATTGTGCAGAGAAAATGACTTAGATTTACTGGGTATTTAATGTATATCTACCGTGCCACAGATTGTGAATATAAAAAGAAACACATTCTAATACAATAATAATAATAATGTATTTTAAAAGCAGGTTGATTTATTACATAGTGGTTACATAGTGATATTATGTTCTTAATGTGCCTACAATATTGCAGCATTCTGCTTCTTTAAATTGTTTGATTGTTCGGGGATGATCAAAGTTATTCTGCATGTGCCTTAACATGCATTACCTTGCTTCTCTCCAGACACAAATATATCATTATGGCTCCAGCTTTGTCCAGATAAATTCTGACATCCAGTGGTCAAACAAGGTACCTTTAAGAAGGACCATAACACTATTTCATATGGTCATGTTTAAAGTTGTATAAGTACTGGGTGTAATGTTATGTTTATAACCACCGATTTTTAACCCCTTATGGACACATGACGGAAATATTCCGTCATGATTCCCTTTTATTCCAGAAGTTGTGTCCTTAAGGGGTTAAAAGATTCCCTGTTTAATTTTTGTAATTAAGGTCTAATGTATCTAGATTAAAAATTAGAGTCTTCCCCCAAGTCCTCTTAATAATTTATGTTTATGTACTGTGTGTATATATATATATATATATATATATATATATATCAAACAAAAAGCTTGGCACTCACCCTTTCTCCAATTCAAAAATGGTTTTCTTGATGCCTTGGTGCAATCCCACGTTATGAAATATATGCAAAAAGTAAGAGATGCACTCTGAGGACTTATATAATCAATAATGCAGTATTTATTAAAAAGA